ATCATGTTGTCGACTTCATGTCATCTTGACAGCAAAATCTACATCCGAATACCCTACTAGTTGCAAGTCTTGAACACTTCTGTAAATCAACATATAATCTCTTGTCCTTTTTAAGTACCTCAAAACTTTCTTAGCAACAATCCAGTGATCTTGTCTTGGATTTGACTGATATCTATCCAGAAGTCATATTGCAAAAGTAATGTCTAGTCTCGTGCAAACTTGAGCATACATGATACTCTCAAGTACACTAGCATAACGTACATCTTTCATTTGGGCTTTCTCAATATCTGAGTTAGGACATTATAATAGACTCAGTTTATCAACCTTAATGACAGGAGCAATTCCTGGCTTGCAATCATGCATATCGAATCTTTCCAAAATACGATCGACATATGTCCTCTGAGATAAACCCAATATAAAGCGAGAACGATCCTTATTAATTTCAATGCCAATGACAAAAGACGCTTCACCAAGGTCCTTCATGTCAAAATTCTTTGACAGCGTTCACTTTGTTTCATGCAAGTAAGATATCATCTACATAGAGTACGAGAAAAATAAATTTCCTCCCAGTGACCTTGCAATATATACACTAATCCACTTTATTCTCAAACAACACTATAAAACTTTAAGTACCATTGTCTAGAAGCTTGCTTGAGGCCATAAATTGATTTTTTCAGTCTACACACAAGCTTACCTGACTCATCTGCTCAAAGCCTTCGGGTTGCACCATATAAACCTCCTTATCATGGTCTCCATTCAAAAAAGCAGTTTTAACATCTATCTAGTATAACTCCATATCAAAATGAGCAACTAATGCCATGATCACTATGAAAGAATCTTTAGAAGAGACTAGGGAAAAAGTTGCTTCATAATCTACTCTTTTTCACTGAGTGAAATCCTTGGCTACCAGTCTAGCTTTAAACTTCTCAATTTTTCCTTTGGAGTCCATTTTAGTCTTGTACACCCATTTGTAGCCAATGGGCTTATGACCTTTAAGCAATTCAATAAGCTCACAAACACAATTATGTTTCATAGACTGCATCTCGTCTTTCCTTGCATCCAAACACAAATCTGACTGAGGACAAGAAACAGTATTTGTGTAAGTCACTAGATCAATTACACATCCAATATCGTAGTCAAGCTCTCCCAGATAGACTATATAATCTGGCGGTATAGTTGATCGTCTCTACCTGATTGATCTCCTAGGTGGAGCACTTGAGGGGCTTGAAGAGGTTCATTATGAGCTACCTCAACGACAGGATCCTGGATCTTAATAGGTTCAATCTGTGATGTAGGAGACTCCACAACCATCTGTATAGGTAGAGAAATAGACACAATAGTCCCCACCATACATTTATCCTTAATAGTCTGTGAGCAGCTACCCTCTTCGACCACATCAAAACTCTAAAAACTTTACTATCTGTGATTTCACAATTATTGTGCCTCCATTAGGATTATAAAACCGATACCCTTTCGAATTATCTAGGTAAAATATGAAGTAACACCAAGTGATTCTAGAATCCAACTTACTTAATAGTGGATTATATAACCTCACTTCTACAGGACAACCCTAAACCTTATGATGGTTCAAGCTATATTTACGTCCAGTTCACAACTCAAAAGGAGTCAATGAAGTATCTTTTATAGGAACACGGTTTAGAATATAAAGTGCGGCTTTCAAAGCTTCATCTCACAGAAAATCAGGTAAATTGGTCCTTCTAATCATACTCCTCATCATTTCCATAAATGTGCGATTGCGCCTTTCGGCCACACCATTTTGTTCAAGACTTCCAAGCATAGTAAATTAAGCTACTATCCCAAAATCCTCCAAGTATTTGGCAAATGGCCATTTAAGCTGTCTAGCATCACCATGCTTGCCGTAATAGTCAGATCTGACAACATTTATGGCTTTTCTCAATTATTTCTCGACTTCAGTCCGAAAAATCTTAAACGTGTCAAAAGATTCAGACTTTACCTTAATCAAGTACAGATAACCATATCGGGTATAATCGTAAATAAAATTGATGAAATAAAAATTTCTACAAATATCTGTGTAAGTGACCTCCAATAGGTCAGAACTACGAAGTGCAGTTTTCTTCTTTATCTTAATTATCTTACCTCTACAGCAGTCTACACAAGTCTCTAGGTTACTTTTAAGAGTAGGCAGGGTGTCGGCTCTTATCAGCCTTTCCACTATTTCCCTAGAGATGTGACCAAGCCGTTTATGCCACAACGCATAAGACTGTTCTTTAAGTATAAGTTTTTTGGAAATAACCTTTTCAGCTGTATAAGCGACGTATATATCATTGAGAGTTAAACACAATATGTAGAATCCATTGGACATATTGCAGCACCTAACCTTATTTGAATTAAAAAACATAGAAATAATATTGTTCTTTATTTCAAAAAAGTAACCACACATGTTCAAATATGATACGGAAATTAAGTTCCGTCTAAAAGAATGTACATAAAATGTATTTCTCAACATCAAATTAAAATGACATCTCCAACGAACTCATCGTCAACTTTATTGTTGTTTCCTACGGTGAGCTTTAACTCATCATAATTTGGCTTCCTCCGGTTTATAAATTCTTATATGGTAAACAGAACATGATTTGTTTCATCGCTATCTAGCCACCATGAACTGGATGGGCCTTCTAATAGGTTTAATTCACAAACAAATGCCAAAGAATCATTACGTGCATGCTCATGCTTGGACAACCAAGTTTTATATTTATTGCAGTCTTTCTTTATGTGACCCTTCTTCTTACAAAAGAAGAAGCAATCACCATCCTTCATAAAGGATGCTTTCTTAGGACCCAGACAATTAAAATGATCGGTGGTTTTGTGAGTTCCTTTATGAGTATGATTTTTGGATCTCTTACTCTTCTTGTCCATAACCTCAACGGAACCATCATACCTTATGTTGAAAAGTGCTTGCAAATGTGTTCCAATCTCAGCATTAGACGAGACACAGTTTCTAGCCACTAAGGCTTCTATCATCTGTCTTGTAGTGCAGTCAGCTGGCAAACCACTCATCAAGTGTTCCTGAATGGACCACTTCATTAATAATAAGCAAACCATATTGCTCCTTTCCCCTGCAGCAAAGTGTGCTTTCTAGGCTTTCGTACTGGTGTCAGTGAGATCTGACAGCTTTTCCTTAGTAAGAGCAATATCAACATCCGCCAGCTCCATCCCAAACAGAAAATTCTCTTTTCATTTTTTTTTTTAAGTTTAGACTAGTAAGAACCTTAATCACAATGGAGTTACCGTTTATACATAAGATGACAGATTTGACAAGCAATGTATACAATTAGCATCATGTGAGTATCGTATAACTTGAAATCGTATAAGCACACATCCTGAGAGTTACATACATCATCATATAAACACTTTTGGGCAGAATATATGACATGCAGTTGTATACTCTCCATATAAATGTGGCCATGAGAATATATTCCAACCTTCGTGAATTCACCACCTTTAGGTGTTTGAACCACTAGAATCAGTCACTTCTCAAGCATATGCTGTTCATATATCCCTCTATGAACCCATACCCAATCACCTCCTTTGGGAGTATGATCACGCATTAGAACAGGAGACATCCCACCACAATATGAGACCTATATTTCTCAAACCCAATCAAGTGTGCCACTTTGACAGTCACTACCCAATTGAATCCTTGAAACTCTTTCATACTAGGGATATAAAATTTATGTCTCACATTTACCATATACATGTGATTTTAGACTTAAAGACGGGGGCAATTTGTCACTAAAATCACATGTCATGCTAATTACATTGTTCCATTTATTGATACATGTTAAACCTTATACATGCCATCAACGAATTACACTCTACACATTTTGTATGTGATGATATACATGTGAGCTTACATCTGTATTTCCGAAACCATAGAGAAATACACACAAAAATACCCTAAAAATACACATATATAGGGTTCTATATGCATTTTTACATCCTTAAAAGAATCAAATATGTAAAATAAATACAACACAGTGTAGAGCCTCTCGATACGAGCACGGCAGTATGAAGAACGCTCCAATCGGAGCTCGGGCACGCCCTCATGCGCCGCCTGAGTGCGCGGCGCATGAGGCGCATGTTCAACCTGTCTAGATCGGCTTGGACCGCCGATCCGACCAGTTGACCGGTCCAACTAGTTAATAGTCAATGGATCGGTCCAACCGGTTAACCAGTCGGGTCCTGGATCGGGTCGGATCTCGTGTCAAGTCACCGATGAACAGGTTAGTCAACAGGTCAGATCCCGAATCGGGTCGGGCCATCCGGGTCGACCCGTGTCACGGGTTGCTAGCGCATGTGTTGAACACGCTGGGTGAGGCCCGCGCATGGCAGCGCAGCATCCCCTGGTGGCGCGCCGCCACTCAAAATGCTCGTTTCAATGAGCTCTTCACATTTATGTAATTAAAATAAATTTGTATCAAACAAAAAATACAAAAAAAAAAAACAGGCAAATCCGTATGTTCTACATCTGGTCTATGGTTGCTCTGATACTACATATAGGCCGCAAAAAGGGCAGCCAAGTTCTACATAGTTAGAATCTAGAACACATTAGTCTAGTAAAAGAGATTTGCACATCTGTTTTGGAATCCATCGTTCTTGATACGGAATAGCGATGATCCTTAGCGCAAGTCCTTCTCCTCTATTACCCTCCATATCACTGACTCAATGAGACTGCCCCTCACAATTAGCGTTATGTGTCTACTCCTTATGTTAGGTTATTTGTCGTCATGGCTAGAGGAGAGACTTGAGCACTATTTATAAAGTTTTAAGCCACAGGACCTCTCATCATAGGCCGGGCTTTCTTGGCCTACCCTAGCCAGCCCCATATTAGATTAATTAAGAATCTTCAAAAATTACCTTATTAGATCAATCCCGTAAAATGGTAAATTACAATCTCAATTAATTTAGCCCAAAAAACTCTTACAACATGAATATGTGCTGAATGAGAGGATGAGAGGAGACATGAAATGGACTCAATGTTATTGAAATGAAGAAATCAACAAGCGAAAAGTCATGTGTTGAACATATTTGACCACATATACAGCCATACTAGACCACCAACCTTATCAATCTTTCGAGACCCACAATGATAAAGATCCCAAGATAGCCCTCAAAAATTGACTTACGTGTCTTTCACCAAGTTATTACATTAATAATTGACATGAGAAATTTTGAACTCCATCACATGACAGTGCATGCAGTGGCATTTTCTTCACTTAAGTAATCACATAGGCTCACGCGGTAACCTCTATTCCCACCCTGACACTCACAAGCTGGTCTTCCACATCCATCGTCGCACATCACTGGCCCCCCCTGCCCAGGATGGAAACCTCTATTCCCACCTTGACACTCTTCGGCAGGTCTCCCACATCCATCATAGCACATCACTGGAATCCTCCGCCCACAATAACACGGTCCCCCACCATACCCTCCAAAACATGGTGGACAACAACACACCCCCACCATCGGATACACTGGCACTGGCGGGCAGCCCACCACGACCTTGGGCTTCTTGGTATCCTCTAGTTTCTTGGACTCCTTGGGCTTGTCGGGCAGGATCTCAACGCTCAGCACCGTCTCGCCACCCTTGCAGATGATCTTTTGCCGGATCTTCTCCGGGCTGCAGCACACGACGGTGATCAACACCACGTTCTGCTTTTCATCGTATGTCTGGTCTCGGATTTCTTTTGTTCACAAATTAATTCATAGCAAACTCAGTCGAATTAAATTAACACCAATGCAATAGTAATTACAAATCAAGAAATGACAACAATTTGAAACTAAAAAGAGGGGAAGCAAAAAAAAAAACCAAAGAGAGAGAGAGAGACTCACGGGGAAATTCACAGAGAATTTTCTTGATCTTCCTGTAGCAGCGCGAGCACTGCAGATCCACCTTTATCGACATTTTGGTCACCTGCAACAAACAAGAACAATGCAAAAATCAATAATGCCATGTGTATCAAATGAATACGAAGAATAATTCGAGGTTTTCCTTTTCCTAATCGTTTGCGGAGAAAGTATCAGGGGGAAGACGCAAAACAGAGAAATGAACAAGATGGACCCAACAAAATAATAACCCAAATGGAGAGATGATTGTTCTGAAAAATCACAATCATAGAATGATAAAAGAAAAAAAAAACGACACAGAAAAGAAAAAGGGAAGAAAAATGGAAGTGGTGTGTATCAAGAGAGATGAGTTAGAGGAAAGAGGAGGAGGATTCACCTTCTCTGCCATAGCTGCGGGAGAGACAAGATCCGGAGAGCTCCAAAAACGAGAGAATGGGAGTGCTAAGTGGTGAAGGAAGGAGCGAGTGAATGATAGAGAACGAGAACAGACTGGTTAAGAAAGAGAACGGTCCCTATAAATTTAATAGCTCATCTGCTTCCATCTTAAGTTTCTGAGAAATTTCTGTATTTGACTTAGAGTCGCGTGATGAACAGGAGTCAATCAAGAAGTGTACCGGAAACTCGTATTTTGGCGAGACTAAGAACAAGCAACTTGACCGTACGTTAGTTCTCGTGTCACTGTCACATTGATATCATGACGTACATAGTATTACATCACCTCCATTGCTGGTGGGCTTGCAGTCTGCGGGAATGATGGGATAATGAACAGATATTGCACGTGTTTTACCTGCCATTGTCGAAAGAAATTTCAACAGAAGAACAGGAACTGCACCAAGGCGATGGCTGCAATTTCTTCATCACTTTGCTTTCTGCAGTTGAATTTCCAACAAGTGCGTTGAGGTTTTTTGTTCCTTAAACTGTCGTTTTGCTCATGTGATTTCGGTCCTTTTGATTGTTGTTCTTGCATTGAATTTGGTTGCGACAGTTCACCACATGAAGTTGGATTTTGAGGGAATTCATAGGTGGCTGTGTTGGGGTGAACTGTACTGTTTTATACGCTGTAATGCTTAGCTCAATACATGGAACTAAAATTGTATGGGCTGATCATCAAGTATGTCGAGTGATTGAAAACAATAACAAATAAAACGAGGAAATAAATGGATTTACGTGGCTCAATCGACATGACTTACCTATTCCAGCAGGAGAGAAGCACAAAATTTCACTAAAGATCGAACGACACGACGGAGAGTACTAACTTTAAACTTTGAAAAGAAAAGAAAGACCTTTTTGAGCTGTCTCCAACATGGGTTAGGCAATCGCCCCATGTTTCAAACCAACTTTACATGGTTTCATATAAAGTCCAAGTTGGACTTTGAAGCCGTGACATAATTTAATTAAAGTATATCAAACTCCAGAAAGATTATGTTGGACCTTCCTGATATGACAAATTACACTACAAAAAAATGAGGATTTAGCCACGAAAATTAGCCACGAAAAATTATTCGTGGCTAATTTGCTACGGAATTTGTGATTAAAACTAAATTCGTGGCTAATTAGCGACGAAAAATTTTCCGTAGATAATTTGCGACAGAATTTGCGACGAAAAAAAATCGTGGCTAATTTGCAACAGAATTTGCGATTTAAAAATTTTCCGTGGCTAATTTGCGACGGAATTAGCAACGAAAAACAAATTCGTCGCTAATTAGCCACGGATTTAGCCACGAAAATAAAAATAGTCGCGAAAGTGAAGAGAGAGTTTATTTTCGTGGCTAAATCCGTGGCTAATTAGCCACGAATTTTGCCACGAATTTATTTCGTGGCTAATTAGCCACGAATTTGGCCACGAATGTAAAAAAAGCAAGAAAAGTGAAGTGAAAGTTTATTTTGTGGCTAAATCCGTGGCTAATTAGCCACGATTTAGCCACGAAAATAAAAATAGTGGCGGAACCGAAGAGAGAGTTTATTTTCGTGGCTAAATCCGTGGCAAATTAGCCACGAATTTTGCCACGAATTTATCTCGTGGCTAATTAGCCACGATTTAGCCACGAAAATAAAAATAGTGGCGAAACCGAAGAGAGAGTTTATTTTCGTGGCTAAATGTGGCTAATTAGCCACGAATTTTGCCACGACTTTATTTCGTGGCTAATTAGCCACGATTTAGCCACGAATGTAAAAAATAGGAAAAGTGAAGCGAAAGTTTATTTTCGTGGCTAAATCCGTGGCAAATTAGCCACAATTTTGCCACGAATTTTTTTCGTGGCTAATTAGCCACAGATTTAGCCACGAAAATAAAAATAGTGGCGAAACTGAATAGAGAGTTTATTTTGTGGCTAAATCCGTGGCTAATTAGCCACGAATTTTGCCACGAATTTATTTCGTGGCTAATTAGCCACATTTAGCCACGAATGTAAAAAAAGTAGGAAAAGTGAAGCGAAATTTTATTTTCGTGGCTAAATCCGTGGCAAATTAGCCACGAATTTTGCCACGAATTTGTTTCGTGGCTAATTAGCCACTAATTTAGCCACGAACGTAAAAAGTAGGAAAAGTGAAGCGAAAGTTTATTTTCGTGGCTAAATCCGTGGCTAATTAGCCACGAATTTTGCCACAATTTATTTCGTGGATAATTAGCTACGATTTAGCCACGAATATAAAAAAAATCATGAAAAGTGAAGTTAAAATTTATTTTCGTGGCTAAATCCGTGGCTAATTAGCTACGGATTTAGCCACGAATTTTATTCCGTGGCGAATTTTGCAACGAACACGAAGTTCGTCGCTAAATTCTTTTATCCGCCCGCCTCACCCCGATTCTCTCTCTCTCTCGGATCCCCTCGCGTTCTCCCTCCCTCTCCCACACCCCCAAGCCTCTCAAGTCGCCCGATCTACAAAATCCAACCTCTAATTTGCTTGCGTCTTCGGCGAATTTGATGCCTCATCGTCGTGAATTCGCAGTCCGATCCCAAATCCGGCGCCGTTCTTGCGGCCTCGGCGTTCGCCGCACGCGTCTAGGGTTTTCCCGACTCCAAACCCGATCGATTCGGCGGTGCTTCCGATGATGGATGGCAACAATAGTCCCCTCCCCTTCTCCCTTTGTTCTCGCCTCTCGCCGGTGGTTTCCGCCCTCGGGCTCGGAATCGTGGTTTTCCGGTTCGTTATCTCGAGTTTCTTCCAGCGGTTCGCCTAAATTCGGCGAGGTGCGATCGAGATTCGCCATGGCTAGCTCCGGCGATGGAAGAACGGCGAGAACCGCCGGACGCGGCCGGACCGCGACAAGCCCGGCGATCCGTCGTCGATCGACGCGTCCTCGGTGGAGTCCGGGCCGAGCTCGAGGGTCTCGAGGGGGCAGCGAGGAGATTGGGATGGCGGAGAGGCCGACGCACGTCTTCATCGGGGAGGCGACGGAGATCTGTTGATGCATGTGGAGCGATCGGGAGGATAGGGTTCGCAGGTGGCCGCAGTGCTCGATATGCAAGTGGTTGGGGCTGCCGCGCGGATGAGAGATTGAAGCCGTTGTTGAAGTCGAGTGAGTCGAGCAGCGGCTGCGGATCGGTTGTTGGCTCACCTCGATCAGTACTTATTGTTTCGATCCGGATTAAGTGTCTATCGGCTCGAAGCGTTAGGGTTTTTTGCTTATTTCATTGCCTGAGGATTGATTTCGAGATAGTCGCGGCGTATGTAGCATGTATGGCTACGTTTTGGTGGCCTGTGAGGGGTAAACGCTTTACCGTGCTACTGATGATAGGGAGTCTCTTTTCAATTTTAATTTTCGTACGGATGGTTCAGAGTCCCTTATGAGATATTGCATGATTGGACCGTTATTGAGAAGGTTTGGGTAATTTGTTCAAGTTGTTGTTTGATTTTGGCTTATTGGATTTGCTTTTGTTTTTAATCATCAGCATTTCGAGCTCGAAGTTGGAATACCGGCCATATGCTTTTGCATGCCACTTGTTTCGATTCGAGTTGGCAAGATAGACAAGCAAGGGACTCTTCTTTGCCCCACATCAACAAGGTAAATGAAGTTCTGATCTGTATCGGTTTTCGGATTCTTGTATGTGAATTGTCTGTTGGCTTGTGAGCATCTTAGTTTGGTTTCTGCTGATGAGTTGCCAATGTTTTCCGGTAATATACATAGTTCAGCTGCAGACTAATTTTATCAGTGGTGCTCATTGGTTTACTATTAGAATTTTGTTTGTTATCAAGTGATTTTCCTTTACGTTTCTCGCTTGCTATATGGATGCTTATAATTTTTGGAAGTTTAACAAGCTTAGAATTGGCTTTATTAGGAGTTGTATTGTTTATGTTCGATCTCGCATTTAAGTGGCGCATTTTCCGTCTTGTATCTTGTTCCCTTCATCTGGAGTGTAGTTCTTGTAAGCTTTCATTTTGTAGTGCGAGTGCGTACTATGTGTTTTGATTGAGCATTTGTTAGTTTTGTGTTTAGAGAACGGTTCTTCGTACGATTTTTCTACAATGTTTAAGGAGGAGTATGCTTGCTGTTTTTCTGTTCCTAGAGTTCCTTATCCTCATTATTTCAAATTTGCTAGTTTTTATTGCCATTTTGTGTGGTGGAGTTGTGTCTTTTGGTTCTTATTACAGCTAGCTATGTAATGCTAATTGTGGGCACCTCATCGGAGATCATGTTGTCAGCCTCTTCTTTGCAAGCAGCGGTTTAAAATATTCTAGATGAAAGTATTTGACACATATTGATATACCAAGTAAGTTTGTGTAAAGTAAACGCGATCTTTGGACCGTAATGCTTTTTTTGTTTTCGATGTAGTTCTCTTCTTGTTGGAATTTTTTGGATACATATGGATATAGGTATTGATGGCGTAATATTAGCGATGGACGTAGTTTATGTTTACCCTACTATTTTCTTTCTTCATAATGGGAGATTTACCCTCTTGACAATTATGTCATAGCATCAGAGTCTTCGAATTGAGCAGTTCTTGAATGTCGTTTGTGAGATTATTTTCCAAGAAATGGTGGATATTACTTGAATAATATCAACTTTGCATATAGTCCATGATATCACTGGAAATAATCTTAAGTTGAGGATTTAATGTTGTAGCTTCTTGTTGGTATCCATGTTCATTCTTCCCAATAAATATGTCTTTTGACTTGTAGGTGAAGTGGGCGTATCTTATTATGATCTCTCGAATTAAGGGGAGTCAAGGTAGTTTCATGCTCCTATATTATCTTGTCGATTGTTGCTTTTTGAATGTATATAGGATCCGAATTCAACAAGTAGAAAATGTTAGTGACTATTTTTGTTCTTATGCTTGTTATTTAGGTAGGTCTCGTGACACTGTAATTCTGATCTCATTAAGTTCTCTTCAGTCAATTGGTTGTTATTGTTTGCATTTGACAATTAATAGTTATGTGAACTGACTTTTTATATTACCCTCCGAATTTGTCACATTTACATCTCCATTTCCTTGAACATAGATGGTACTTGCTGTTTATATCTATGTCACCGAATGGTACTCATTTCGGAACTGCTTGGTCTTTCAACATATTGTTAGAATTTGTGGAGTTATTTCGGATGCTTGAAAGTCATGCAAAGGAAATACCTTTTGTAAGATGTCCTAGAATTAAATCATAG